AACTTTTAGGGAAATCCAATGTAGCTCTTAATAGTGCTGGCCAGTAAGGGCGGAGGGCTGTGGGCGAGCTGGGGTGGGGTTGGGCTGGAGGGCAGCTGGTGACAGGGGAAGGGGCCTCTGCTGACCACTCTGGCCAGCCATGGGGGGCATCCTGCAGCTCAGGGAGCAAAGGATGTCTCCAAGTGTGAGGGCTTCCTGAAGAAGGCGTGTCAATGATTCTGGCTTCCAGACTCCAAGGTTCCCTGCAATCCCAACAGCCCAAGTGTGAGGCTGTGTACCCAGACAGGGCGGTGGAGTCTGCTGCGAATTAGAAAGCCCAGCCTCTCTCCTCTTCAGACCTCCCAAGAAGGACTTCCTGCTCCACTGTCAGGGTCCCGTTTTCATGGGTGGTTAAGCAGGGCATCCCGGTCCCACCGTGGTTCCAGGCCTCAGCTGGTCTGCCTCTTGCTGCCCCAGGCCCAGTTATGCTGCCAGCGAGGAGAGCCGAATCCTCGTTCTCACTGAGCTGCTGGAGAAGAAGGCCCGCTCTCCCTTTTACCAGGAAGGCGTAAGCAACGCCCTGCTGAAGATGGCTGAGCTGGGGCTGACGCGGGCAGCTGATGTTCTCCTGAGGAATGGGGCCAATCTCAACTTTGAAGGTCAGCTGGAGCCCGGAAGAGCCAGGGAAGCCCCTGTTGGATAGCCTCCCACTCCCCTGCAGGCTTTCAAAAGCTCCTGCTCCCTCTGCCCCCAGCGAGTGTGCTGCTGCTGTGCCATGATTGATTCAGCAAACCTGCCAGCTCCCAGCCTAATCCCGCTTCCATTAGTGTGGAAATGCGGCTGCTGGCACTGTGCCCGGAGCTAAGGGAAGGTGATTTCCTGCCACTCACTCTGAGCTGTCCTGTGTTTTTGCTTATGCCATGGGTGGGGGAGGGGGGTAGGTGACAGATAAGCCACACTGCACGCTGGGTGTCAGTCTCTGCAAGAAGAAGCTTCTGGCTGATAAGTGCTGGGGAGGGTGGTGATGGGACTGTTCTCCTGGCATCTGTGGCTTTCCCCTGAGGACAGCTGAGTCAGGAGAGGGCACGACTGCTTGGACAGCAAGTGCAGGTCTGTGCTGACCCAGGATGTGGCCAGGCTTGTCTCCCCTCACCATGGACACAGGCTCAGAGGCTCTGGGGCTCCTGGGATTGCTGAGGAAGGAGGGTCTGGCTTGAAGTCCTTCAGCCGGATCCCAGGAACCTGCTCTGTGGCCCTGCTCTAGCACAGCAGCCAAGAAGCAGCCACTCAGTGAGTGACTCCCCCAGCGAGCTAAAAGGAGGGCAGTTTTATGGCCCGTCATATAGAAGAGGAAACTAAGGCCCACACGGGTCAAGTAGTGGCCCCAGATTTCCCCCAGGGCCCTCTAGTACCTGGTGAGGACAACGTTGAGAGGGCCCAGTCCTGCGGCTTCTGGGGCGAGTGCTGGCGCTGGGCTCCAAGGCCAGGCCCTGGACCCTGTGAAAACTCGCTGATGCAGGACTGACCTGTGCTGTCTGCCTTCAGACCCTGTCACCTACTACACGGCCTTGCACATTGCCGTTCTCCGAAACCAGCCTGACATGGTGGAGCTGCTGGTGCGCCACGGGGCTGACATCAACCGGAGGGACCGGGTAAGAGCTGGCCCAGCCTCGCAGGGGGAATGCACCAGGGTCTCAAAGCAGCCCACAGCCCCCACACCAACCCAGCTGGTGCTGTCTTGGCTCAGATCCATGAGAGCAGCCCCCTGGATCTGGCCAGCGAGGAGCCCGAGCGCCTGCCCTGCCTGCAGCGCCTTCTGGACCTAGGAGCCGATGTCAACGCAGCCGACAAGCATGGTAGGTGCCTCAAAGGAAAGTGGGACAGCCTGGGCCCTGGGCACCTTGTGAGGGAAACCAGGTGACCCGGGGGTGTCTGGCATGTTGGCTGGAGGCAGCCTGGCTGTGGCACGGCACGGCTGGTGCAGGGTGGATCTGCTGACTCGCCGTAGCTCGGAGTCCAGAGGCTTTGGAGGGGCAGTGCAGTCATTGTCCCCTGCCAGCCCTGAGGCCCTTCTATAGGAGATGGGAATGGGCATCAGCTTCTGGAGATAGTGGCTTGTTGTGAAGAGAGGCCCAGCTGGCCTCAGCAGCTTGGGGTACAGAAAACCCCTAAATCTACTCCAGATTTGTGTGGGTAGAAAAAGATGGCCAGAAGCCTGTCCCCCTCAGCCCTGGTAAGTTTTTAAAGTTCTTTGATGCTTTTTTGAAGCCTCACGGGTAGAGGTGGAGAGTTGCCACCTCTACCCGTGGGGCTGTCCTGACCTCAGCGCCCTGGCCTCCACTTCCTCCTGTCCCTCTCTAGGGAAGACTGCTCTGCTGCATGCTTTGGCCAGCAGCGATGGGGTGCAGGTCCACAACACTGACAACATCCGGCTCCTGCTGGAAGGAGGTGAGGCTGCCCATGCCCCAGCCCAGCCTCTCACCCACAGTAGCTTCTGCTTCCCCCTCTTCCCTGCCTGGTGAGGGCTGCAGACATCCTCCCACCTTTTTTTTCTGATGGCTCTTCCAGGGGCAGATGTCAAGGCCACCACCAAAGATGGGGACACTGTGTTCACCTACATCATCTTCCTGCTTGGCGAGACCGTGGGCGGGGACAAAGAGGAGGCTCAGATGATCAACCAATTCTGCTTCCAAGTCACACAGCTGCTGCTGGCCCACGGGGCTGACCCCAGCGAGTGCCCTGCCCATGAGTCCCTCACGCACATCTGCCTCAAGAGCTTCAAGCTGCACTTCCCCCTCCTGCGCTTCCTGCTCGAGTCTGGGGCTGCCTACAATTGCTCCCTCCACGGCGCGTCCTGCTGGTCTGGCTTCCACATCATCTTTGAGAGGCTCTGTTCCCACCCGGGCTGTGCAGAAGATGAGAGCCACGTGGACCTTCTGCGCAAAGCTGAGACTGTCCTGGACCTCATGGTGACCAACTCCCAGAGGCTGCAGCTGCCCCAGAACTTTGATGTCCACCCGGTGGGCAGCCTGGCAGAAAAGATCCAGGCCCTGCACTCCTCACTGAGGCAGCTGGAAAGCTACCCCCCGCCCCTCAAGCACCTGTGCCGCGTGTACATCCGGCTCTACCTCCAGCCGTGGCCTGTGGATGTGAAGGTCAAAGCCCTGCCCCTGCCGGACAGGCTGAAGTGGTACCTCCTCAGTGAGCACAGTGGTACAGAAGAGGAAGACAGCTGACAGGTGCTGGACTAGGGGACAGGGTTTGGACAACTTAAACCCCCACCTGCTGGTAGACTTGGCACTTGTGGTGACCCCAGGGGAGGGTCCTTTGATCTGGGAGGTAAGGCTTAACCTTACTAAGCACAAAGCCCATAGCTGTGACCGCTCTAGTGGTGAGGTAACTGCTCTAGTGGGAGAGGTACATCTGTCCCTTCTTTCTGGCACCTGCCCCCAACCCAAGTTTCAGTCTACTCTGGGCAGAATAGTTGTGTAGATGGATTGAGTTTCTGCCTCTGTGCTGGAGGGGAGCCAGGTGTCTGCAGGAGCCAGGCAGCACTCAGTCTAGGCAGCCCCTGGAGCTGCCAGCTTCTGCTTTGTCATGTGTGGAGGCATAACTAGAACCTTCTAGAGGGAAGCTGTGGCTGCCGCCCAGCTGAGGTCCTACCCATGCCTCTTCACTCCAGATCTGTTTCAAGAAGTGCTTTTGGCAAGCTGGGGGAGAAGGCACCAAGGGCCACCACAGGCTGCCCTTCGAGGCCTACCCCTGCTGACTCTCGTGGCTGACACTTGATGGCTTCCCCCCCTCAGGGGCTGGGTCGCCTGTGGCCCTGCTCACCAGGGTACCAGGGCTGTGCTCTACTGTGCCAAACCCAGGGTCTCAGGGAGCATGCCTTCTGCCAGAAGCAATCATGAGTGCAAAGCCAGGGAAAAGCCCCTCCCAAGGGTCTGGTTTTGAGTAGCTTGCTGGGAGCCAACCACCAAAACCAGATGCCACCTGCCCTACCCAGCATCGATCCCTCACGGTCACTTCTAGTCATGTTGTCATTGTATATGCCTTTGGGAATAAGCTGAGACTGACGTGGTATGTTTATATTACAAAATTAAACGGAAATTCCTGGCCTCGCTCGAGGGTCCTATATAAGATTCTAGTCTTCCTTTCTCGTTCAGGGTCAAGGACCAGCAGCAGCCAGTGAGGAGGAAGGGGTGGGAGGGGAGGAGACAGAGCACTTGGGGCAACAACTCCCCACAGAGCACCTCTCTGGCCTGGGGAGGGCCTTCAGAGCACAGGGATTTGTCCTTTTATTTTTGTCTGAAAGTGCCTGCCATGAAGGACCCCCCAAGTACAGTGAAGGCCAGCCAGATGTCTCCCCTGGCTGCAGGCTGCTGTGACATGAAAGATACCAGGGTCTCCTGGGGACATAGCTCAGCTGTAGAACACTTGCCTAGCATGTTCAAGGCCCTGGGTTCAATTCCCAGTACCACCAAAAAGAAAAAATCATATATACTCATGGGGCTGGGGATGTGGCTCAAGCGGCAGCGTGCTGGCCTGGCATGCGTGCAGCCCGGGTTCAATCCTCAGCACCACATACAAACAAAGATGTTGTGTCTGCCGAAAACTAAAAAATAAATATTAAAAAAAAAAAAGAAAGAAAGATACCAGGGTCTCATCACCAAAAAGGTCCTGGGCCACGAACATCCCATAAATGGCTCCACCTGGCAGGTGCCGTTCTGGGTTCACCTGGCCAGTATTTTGCCCAACCCGCTTTCCCTGGTAAAGACCACATTCCTTCACACCTCCAGGCCTCTGTAACTAAGTTAGGGGCGACTCCCCACCAGGCAGGCACCTGTGGAGTGACCACCAGTTCCCACGAAGTGAGCATCAAGCGCACCGGAGTCATGCAGGCTGTGTGGCATTGGCCTCTGGCCCAATCTGCACCCCACGGGCAGTGAGGCCCGCGTGCCTGCGTCAGCAGGACCCTCCCCAATAAGTCCCACTTTGCCTTTTAAGAAGCAAGTCTATAGTGAGTGGACGGCAGACAGATATATTTAGCAGCCCCTTGACACTCCTGAGCCACACTAGCTGCCAGCGCCCCCCACCTTGGCTCTGGTCCCTGGCCTCTCCAGCCACCGCAGCTCATCTCAGGGCAAAGCTGTAGACATGGTAGATCTCGTCAGGGAGGTTCTCCTGTCGCTCCTCAGCCAGGAGATTGAGGCCTGCACTGCGGATGATCCTGCGGACCACATCAAGGTCCCGGCATACGCTGCTGTCCACATCGTCCAGGATCACGCCCTCCTGGGCCATGTTGTCTTTGATGACGATGATGCCGTTGGGGCGGAGGCCCTGCTTACAGCGCCGTAGGAACTCGGCCAGATGCTGATCAGTCAGGTGGCCTGTGGAGGGCGAAGGCACGGTCACCAGGGGTGAGGTGGAGTGCATGGGAAGCATTCTTCAGCCACTGTGTTCAACAATCCTAAGCCCCATTTGTTTAAGAAGCCACTGGAGCTCAGAAGTCTCCTACGCCCGAAGCTGGGACTGAAGCTGACAAGGTGCCTCCAGCCTGACACCTGTGCCACACCACCTGTCCCTCCTACGCTAGGACTAGGCAGAGGGGCAAGTGAAGCAGGAGCACCCGAAACCACCTTCCCTGAAGTCCACACAGTGTACAGGGAGGGATAGGCCCAGAGGGCCACAGCAGGGTGGTGCTGCCTACGAGGGTCAGCAGCCAAGGCACAGCACCCTAGGCAGGTTAGGCCAGGGGGCCCACCTGGGGCATCAGCAGGACTGCTCCTGGCAGTCATACTCTCTACCTTACTCTAAAACTCTTAACAAAGCTCAGTTTCACTTGAATGCAGAAAGGCACTGGCTATTTAACATTTTTCAAAAAGCTGCCCCTGGACAGGTGGCAGGTATTTAATTAAAACAAAGTCTAGTAGAGAAGACCTGCCCTTGAGGCCCTCTCCTCACAGGCCCGGGGAGCCTGAGTGGCAGGACAGGTGCAGGCAGGAGGGAGGGCTGCGGGATACTCACCTATCACCCACTGGATCCAGATCACATCATAAGAGCCCGGCTCCGGCCTGAAGTCCTGCAGACCGCAGCAGAAGTAGTTCCTCACCCTCTTGCCTTCTTCCCCCAGGTAGCTCTTGGCTTTGGCCAGAAAGTCCTCTGTCATGTCGACCATATCCACCACTTTAAATAGTGGCAGAAGCAGCCGCTTGGTGATCCTCCCAATGCCAGCTCCACAGTCCAGGGCACAGGAAGTTCCTGTCTTGTTCGGGCCTTCCTGAAAAGCAGAGCAAGCATAACTCACAGGAACCCTGTCACTGCAAAGGGGCCTTCCTCCTGAGCCTGGGAATCCGACTGCAGTCAGGGCCCGGCACCAGCTGGTCATAGGGACACTCTCGCTGGGCCTCATATTTCTAAGGAGAACAGCCATTTCCACGTGAAGGGCGGTGCACTGAACTCCCATTCCCGAGACCCCAGAAATGACAACAAGAGTGGGTTCCCACAGGAACTGGAAGAGGGAAAACTGGTGAATAATGGAGTGAAGATGGAACATGAGTGGCGGGAGGCACGGGACAGAGCATGGTTCCCTCCAGTGCTTGCCAGGGAGGGGGCGAGAGGGAGCAGGCCCAGGGAAGGCTCCAGACACGAGCACCCAGCACGGCACAGAGGGGTGGGGAGCAGCAGCATCAAGACCTGGAAACTAGGAGGCTGCAGAAGAGGCGATACCCACAGCCCAGCACCCACGGACACGACAGGACACCTCGTCCCCAGCAACGGAAGAGTCTTAAGGAAGACTCTTAGATTCCAGTACCTAAGAGTCCCCTAGCATATCAGCTCCGGCCTGTAGCCTTGAGACAGTCGACAATCTAGAAGTTGCACCCCCACCCCCCAGCTCTAGGGCCTCGGTGGCAGGCACCGATAGGGGACCAGAGAGCTGGCTGTGTTTCATGTGCAGGTGGCTCCCCATGCAGCCCCGCCGGTGCCACCAGAGCCACAGCGTCTCCTCCTGGAGTGCACATCAGACCTGCCTACCCTCAGGAACCTCTGCAGGAACTTCCGGGAGCTGCTGAGGTCGATGTTGGAGATGTGGCCATACCCCCCAAGCATGCCGTCCACCGTGGGTGGGATCTGCTTCCAGTACGTCTTGGCCTTCGAGTAGAACTGCTTCTCGTCTTCTATCACCTCGCTCGTCATGCTGTCACCAGCCCCGGCTCTGCTCAAGCTCCACACTTGGCAAGGGTACACCTCCTGGGTGAGGAACAAGGAGCAAGTCAGCCCAGCCAGGTGCCATCCAGGCTTTCTGAGCCACACGACCCTGCTGGCATCCAGAACACCCAGGCAGCTAAATCTGCTCCCATCCCTCAGATGACAGCCCCTTCAGAGGATGGAGGACTCCTTCCTGAACAGTGCATGGACAGCAGCCCAGAGACATGTCTGCATGGGGACAGACACAATAGCAGCAGAGGCAGTGATGATGTGTACCATCAGATGACTCGGGAAGGAGGGAGAAAATCCCGAGAAGAGCTTGGGAAGGAGGACCAGCCTGGGCTATGGTGGCCCCAGGTGCATGCAAAGTGCCTGGGCCTCATCTGTCAGTAACAGGAAGCTAAGCAACCAAGTCTACTGAGGGCAAGGGGGTGTGCTGGCACTACCTTGTAGGGTGGCAGGGGAAAGTGGGAAATGCATGGCGGCGCCAGCTGACACAGGACGAGCAGCAGCAGCAGGACGACAATGGCAGGGGCAGCTGATGACTCCTCAGCCCTTTTTTGCTGCCGAGGGGACAGGTACTGCCACCATCAGCGTGCAGACAAGGAATCCGATGCACAGGGAAGAGGTCGGGGGCCCTGCACTCACTGAACACCAAGACTCGACAGCTCTTCCCACCATGCAGACCTCAGCCTAGATGTCGCCTCAGAGGCCTTCCCTGAGCTGCCTGTGTAAATGACTCCTTCAACACCCTAGGCTAACTGCAGGGCTCGCTGTCCTTACAGGGTATTTCCATCTGGAATCACACTGTTCTCTTCTATCAGCCGCGGCTAGAATGAAAGCTCTAGAGGGCAGGACTCTGCCAACTGCCGGTTCACCTCCACCCAGCTGAGCCCCTGGAGAAGTACTGGGTGGGAAAGCAGCAGAGACCAGGCTGGCAATAAGGTCTTGGATGGTCCCCAACACACATCTGTATTGTGGACTTGGATGGTGAGGCCGGGTCTCGCCCCAGCGCAGAAACTGGAGGGCAGGGGAAGCACCTGAATCCTCCAGGTAAGCAGTAAGGCTCTGGGCTCTGGGGTTCTACCCACCCACCTTCACATGACTGCAGTGAGCAGCAGTTAAGCCACGGACCCCTATTACTACAGGGTCAACAAAGAAGGGTCAACCTGTGGAACTCGGGAAATCCTCAAAAAAACTGAGAGCTGGCACTGCCCGTCATGCCAGTGACTCAGGAGGCCAAGGCAGGAGGACTGCAAGTTCCAGGCCAGCCTGTGCAATTTAGCAAAAATCTATCTCAAAAAATAAAAGTAAAAATTATAAGAGGGCTGGGGACGCAGCTCCATGGTACAGCACCCCTGGGTTCAATCCCCAGTACCAAACAAAAACAAAAACAAAAACAGAACTATGAGAAAAACCCTGGCTGCCGGGGATGGAGCTCAGTGGTGGTGTGTATGCCTGGTGCACAAGGGCCTAGGCTTGATCCCTGGCATCACCAAAAAGAAAAAGAAAAGCCCCAACACCAAGGGAGGCTTTAAGGGAAGTCAGAAAACAGAAAAGGGCCCCATTAAGTCATTCAGAGACTAAAAGGGGACAAGGGAAAGAAACATGAAAAAAGCCAAAAAACTGTCCTTGGTCAGGTTTGTGACCAGTCCCCAATACACATCTGTATTATGAACTTGAAGGACCTTCCAAAAGCAGCACACCCACCTTATGCAGACAGCTCAAGAATGCTCCTATCTAAGCTGGACGCAGTAGCCACGCCTGTAATCCCAGCGGCTCAGGAGGCAGAGGCAGGAAGATCAAGAGTTCAAAGACAGCCTCAGCAACTTAGCGAGGCCCTAAGCAATTTAGCAAGACCCTGTTTCAAAATAAAAAAAAAAAAAGGGCTGGGGATGTGGCTCAGTGGTTAAGTGCCCCTGGGTTTAATCCCCAGTACCAAAAAAAAAGGAAGAATGCTCCTATCTCAATGCACTTCTACCTCAGCCATTGGCAGCCTGGTCCAGAGAGCCAGTGACCAGGTGAGCCAGTGGGTGCAGCAAGGCAGGGCCACCAAGGCTGCTGCGAGAAGGAAGGGACCCTCCTCTCCATCCCAGACCCTGCTCCTCCAGCAGATTAGGGAATTCTTCACAGACAAGGCCACACACTGTCCTACCAAGGGACCAGAACGTAGGTGATCAGGTCTGTGTGCCCTATGCGGGTCCAGTTCTCCAAAGATCCATGATTTTACAGAACCTGCTCACAGAGCCCAGGGAGAAGCCTGCTGGAAGCCCCCTTCAGATTCCGGAATCAGCCTACAGTCTGACCCGCCACTTCAATCTTGAGGCACGGAGCCTGGGGTCACAACCAAGACCAGCTGCCATCCCTGCACCCTAACTGAGGGGCCCTCAAGACAGCAGGCTGGAGGGCCCTTGGTTCTAAATATGGCACCTTCCCCCTGCATCACAATGCCCCCACATCAACGTCCCAGGGCTGGGAGCAATGACTCTGGAGAAAGAAAGCAGCACACTACCTAGAGTGCACTGTTGCTCCAACCCTGACGTGATGTGGCAAGACCTACCAATCCCCAAGACTACTAGGTGTGGCAAGCACCTGGCACTGTTGTTCCTTGAAGCTGACAGAAAGAAATCACAAGCTGGGGATGTGGCTCAAGCGGTAGTGTGCTTGTCTGGCATGCGCGGGGCGCTGGGTTCGATCCTCAACACCACATAAAAATAAAAATAAAGATATTGTGTCCACCTAAAACTAAAAAATAAATATTTAAAAAAAAAAAAAAGTCACAAGCCCGAATGTCACTCACCACACAGCAGGATGGAGCCCAACAAGGATGAGGACCCAGGCCAAGTGGGCTGCTTACCCCCTGCCAACAGGCACCACAAACCATGTTCCAGCCCCCCCCCACAATCCCCTAGGGAGGACACGTCACTCTCCACCCCAGCTCCCACTCAGCGCGGGGCTCGGCAGGACTGACTCTGTGCCCCACTGCCTGTAGTCTAGCGAATGAACTTCTGGTTTTATGTTCAAATCTGAGCCTCACTGGACTGGAAGGTCCTTGGAGAGCAACAGCAACACCCCAAGATCTATCGCTCTGTTTCTCTGGTACCCCATGTAGCACATGGGGTAAAAACTTCACTTCTCAGCCAATGGACAGAAAGATTAGTGCCAGACACTTAATGGGGAGTTCATTCTCTCTGCCTCCCCTCCCAGGGCGCAAGCTTTCTAGGAGCAGGGGCGTTACCTCGTACATATCATCAGTGCAGTGCCCAGGACAAGGTAGACATTTACTAACTGGCTGTCAAGTGAATGAAAGCATGGACTTTACGTGGCTACAGCCATTTTTACTTTTAAGAAAATCCTACACAGTCCGACTGTCGAAAACTAATAACACTGAAAGCTATTACTGACAATGTAACTTTTTTTTTGTTTTAATAAAAGCCTTACAACAATGATTCCTTTCGATGTCAAGGTCCCTGAATAATCTAATTTACAAGAATCCCATCTGCACACAGATTCTAGGAATGAACCACCAAGGGGAGGCACATCTAGGCCCAGGAAACAGCAAGTCTAACTCTGATATTTGCTGCTGATTCATGAATAAATGTGATTCCTCATGTCCTGTCTACACCTGGCCTTCCTTCCAGTGTCCATATGAGTTGTCAGGAAGTCCTAGGAGCCAGAGGAAACAGCAAGGTTGGTTGGGCGCACAGCAGTAAGTCTCCCTACACTCTGCTTCAGAGCACCATGAAGAGCTACTGCACAGCTACAGAGCCTGGGCTGGGCTGGGCTGGGGCAGCGGCTCTGGGCCAGCTCAGAGGGAAAAAAATCCTTTGCTTATCTTGTCTGCCCCACAGCAGGCAGCATGTGGCCATCTCTCCCGCATTCCACAGTGTTTAGAGAAACACCTGGGCACCTGTCCCAGCTGCTTCTATTCTTCCAGGACTCAGGGAGGAGAATGGTGCTTGAACTGTCACCAGAAGACCTGTGCAATAACCTCATGCTCTGCATATGGTATTCCTAAGAAAAAGTCTGAGCAACAGGAGGCAAAGGCCTGCCTGAGATAGCCTGGAGGACAGAAAGCCTGTGCTCCCTCGACCTGTGGGGACAGCAACTGGACATGTGAGAAAGGCAGAGGAAGGGAGGAAAGGAAGCAGGAAGCACGCCTGTGATCCCAGTGGCGTGGGAGGCTGAGGCAGGAGGATCGCGAGTTCAAAGCCAGCCTCAGCAAAAAGTGAGGAGCTAAGCAACTCAGTGAGACCCTGTCTCTAAATAAAATACAAAATAGAGCTAGGGATGTGGCTCAGTGGTCACGTGCCCTTGAGTTCAATCCCCAGTACCAAAAAACAAACAACAACAACAAATAAAAAGGGGGGGGGTGCGCTTAAAAACAAAGGCCCTGATGGAGTTACATGAACTGGGTCTGAATCTTGGCTGTATTTATTGCTCTTTGGCTGTGTAAGCTCAGATAACACATTTAACCCCACTGTTCCTCAGTTTCTTCATCTATACAATGGGAACAGTGACACAGACCTTACAGAAAGGCGGTGATGACTGCATATGAAAAGCTTGAGGTACCCCACACAGTATGGGCACACATTCTCTCCCCAGCTTAAAGATCAGGAATGGGATTCTCGACAACTTTGCCAATTATTAAGATAAATAAGAAAAAAATGCACTGAAATGCCCTATAGGCTGCAATGTGTGGAAACATACTTAAAGGATCACTGCTGGCCAAGCGGCAGACTCCAAAATGGCTCTTCAATCAGCAGGGGTAGGGTGGGCTCCCTTTCCACATAAGCCCAGAACCACTGCAGCAGTTAAGAGGCTGGCCTGGAGGTCCCATGCCTCTGGCCCCACTAGAGCTGACATGGGTATCTGCAACCTCCCAGTGGACAAACAGAAAAATCAACACCCAAAAGAAAGCGATTAAAATAACAGGACATCAGGAGCAGTTTTAAGCCCTGGGCTCAACCCATCTCACCGGGCCACCGCCACCGTTCCATACCTCAACCTTCCCCACACTGCCCTGGCCCGGCCCGGCCCACCGTCAGGGCCTCTGACACCAGGGGCTGCAGTGTACTCAGGAGAGATTCGGGTCCAGAGGGAAAAAGATCACACAGCTGGTGGGCAGAACCTGGGCTTTTGGAGATGGCGGCCTCCCCGCAATCCAACTGACCTTGGCCTCAAGAGCTCCAGGCGGCAGCTGTCTTTTAGCTGCACCTGTGCTCGCCAGGGCCGGGCTGGGGCTGGGCCAGGGTTAACTGTGATAGCAACGCCTAAGCAACCGGCACCGGGCTCCGCGGGGCTGAGCCGAGCATCTCGCCGACTCCTCGCGGTCTCCTCCGAGTGGGCGCTCGCTGATCTCACGAGAGGAAGGGCTTGCTGCGGCCAGGCTAGGGGGGACCCTGCCCGGGCTCTGGGGCCTTGGCTTCCCTCCTCTACTCCGACCCGTGCCCCGCCCAGGTCCGGCCGTTGCACGGCCCGGGGACACGCACGTGGGGCCGAGGCCAGCACGCGCCGGGTCACGTGACGACCGGGGCCTCAGGGCGCCGAGGCAGTTGGGGGTCCGGGCCTCCCCGCACCCGGCGGCCGCCTCCCCTCCGCCCCGCCTCGTGCTACTCACCCCGGGCGGGGGCTCCCGGGGCTGGAAGAAGGGGACGGGGAAGAGCGGGTGAGGGCGGCGGTGAGGACCCTCGAGCCCGCCGCAGTTCCGCCGGTCCACCAGACGCGACACCTCGCGGCGCGCGCTGCCTTTGTCCGCACACGTCACTTCCGGGCGCCCAGGGGCGGAGCCATGCGCAGCCCCGCCCCGCGACCAGCTCGCCCAGTCCCGCGGGCTGGGACCTAACCTTTTGCCTGCGGCGAGGAAATCCCCCGCTTAAGGACTGAAGGACGCAGCGCTGGTCTCCCCCGACCTCCGCACGTGCTCCAGTTTAGTCGGAGGCTGCCAGGCTGGACTTTAAAAACGAGTGACAGGGGTTTTCCACTGGGAAAAAAGGGGGGGAAGGGCCACTGGTGCTCACCCATCTCCATTACCATCTTAAAATATAAAAAAAAAAGAAGGAAAAGAAAAACACTTGGTTGTGCCAGGGACCTGCCAGCCCAATATACAGAACAATTCATGGACTTTCCATTCCAAAAACGTTGACCTTCCTTAGGACCCTCAATTCACAGAAATTTTGGAGGGATCTTTCCGTGTTGGAAACGTGAACTTGCAGGTAGGTAGACACTGTTAACCTCTCCCAGCGTCAATCTCCTCTTCTGCCAGATGAATGTAATAATTACTAGACTTCCGATGATATTGCACCATGTGGGATATTGCATGTCCAGCCTTCAGGAAATGGTAGCTGTTATAATGACAATATTCATCTTAAGTAAGTTCATTTCCCTCAAAATAACATCTTGATGTTAGATTTACAACGCTTTCCTCTCAGCTGTGCACACAAGAAGTGCTTAAAAAGTGTGTTTGCTTTAATGCAATGAAAAGTGGGGAGTGCTGAAAGTCCCACCTGCCATTAAGTCCCCTAAATCTGCTTATGTACATGTTTCGGGGGATCCCCTCTAGTCTAGGCCACTCCTGGTTCTCCTGGTCTGGGCCCCTCTCTCAAGCTTCATTTTCCATGTTTCTGGAACAGATCCTAGGCAATTTTGATTGCTGGAGGTGTCTAAAATCCTTTTTTTGGGAGGTAGCTCTAATCCAAGCTCTCACATGCCTCAAAATCCACCCATACTGTATTTCCTGGCAATGGAAGAGAATGCCCTTCTCCACACTCAGGCTGCAAGCCATTTCCTGGTATAACCAGCCCCCTGACCTCAACGCTTCTCACATCTCTGAATTTCCAAACCTAGCACATAGTAGTGGCTCAATAAATGTTTGCAGACTGCAAGGGTTAGAGGACGCATAGAAACCTGCAGGGTTTCTGTTCTCGCGACTAAAGGCTCAGGGGTCACTCTAGTTAAACTGGGCTAACTGGGCTGCACGAAATAACCACACAAGAGACACAAATACCTTTTTCTTTGGGGTAGCTGTTAAGGGTCCGCAGAAAGAGAGAGAGCTAGAGCACGCGCTGACCACTTTTATTGAGGAGAAGCTATTCAAATGAGGCAAGGGGTCAGGTTTCAGGGGGCTGAGTCTATCTTCATGATGTCCACTGTCAGCAGGTTGATTGACACCTGGGTAGGCCACACCCAAGGGCACAGTAAGAGGAGGGGGCACACACTAGGCACTTCCATGGAAGATTCTATCCTAAACAGGGCAAGGGGTTATATTACAAAGGAATAGGTGAGCATAGCTTCACCCATGGGGCTGTAGCAAGACACACCCATTTCTGTGACTGAGCGCCTCAGCACCCAGCTGGGGAGTGTAACTCAGTCACCCGTAAGGTTGGCCTCCCACAGAAACCATCTAGTTAATGTTCTTTGCCCATTTTTTAAATCTCACACCTTTTAAATAAATACAGACATTTCTGTCTCTCCCGCTTGATATTCCAGCTTCCAGAGGAAACATGCCTCTCCAAACCTAGCCAAGGAGCTTTACAAACAATGGATTACAGCCTGGGTGTGGTGGCGCACACCTGCAATTCAAGCTGCTGAGGAGGCTGAGGTGGGAGGATTTCAAGTTCAAGGCCAGCCTTGGCAATTCATCAAGACCCTGTCTCAAAACTGAAAAATAAAAAGGGCTGGGGATATAGTTCAGTGGCACAGTGCCCCTGGATTCAATCCCCAGCACTGCAAAAGAAATAAAGAAAAAAGAAAATGGAGTACATCTTTTCGGATGTCTCCTCCAGGTGGATGCCCTGTAATTTGGATGACAGTCATTTTCAAGTTATAAAATTATAACATGCCTGTAAAATACTTGCCTAAACCATATCTTGTACAATATCATGAATTTCCTCCCTGCCCTCTCCCAGCCAAGAGTCACAGATCGGTCCTGTCGGTTTTCCCATGGAGCCCTGAGAAGGGAGAAACTTGTTCAGCATCATGTCTCAAAAAGAATCAGGCATGGACTTGAGATTGGTTGTCTGAGTTTCCAGGCCCCCTTATGTTCTGTTCCCATTCCAGGTGGATCTTCCACTTCGGAGCCACCCAGCCAAACATGACCCACTTGGGTTTCCTGGATGTGGAAGGGGTGGGTGACTCTAGACCTTCCCTTCCCTGCTTAGGCCTGGCTGCCCTGACCAGGAGTGCCAAAGCCACCTGTGGCTGCAGCCTGGCACCCAGGGCACAAGGGCCCCACCCTCTGTCTCCAGGCTTCAGTGCCCACTGTTCCTCAAATAGCCATGGGTGAGGACAGGCGGATCACAATGACTCTGAAGATGCCCAGGAGGCAGCTGGGAGGGGCTGGCAGAGGGACTATGCAGGGGAAGATGGACTCTTCTAAGGACCAGCTTGTTAGAGGGCTCTAACCTCAGGGACTTCGCTGGCCTCACTCAGAATCCCCAGCAGGGTGAGTGTGATGACACCTAGGAGACAGCTTGGGGCTGCCAACAATCTGGGCGTGGGGTGTGGTGGGGAGAGAGTAGGCTCGGAGACCCCCAGTATTAGAACCAAGGGGGTGACTGAGGCTCTGCCTCCCTAAGGGAATGGGGTTTGTTATAAATGAGTCTTGGCTTGGGATGTAGTTTGGTGGGAGGCCCCGGTTGATGCCCAATGCCCCTGCCCCCCAAATTGTCTTAGCTCCACTCCAGACACAGAATCGGAATCTGGCGTGAGAGATGGGGGGAAATTCAGTATATTTTCAGCAAGCTCCCACTGCGGAGGGGTGCCGGTGGGGGATTCTAATGCAGCACCGGGATCGGGAGACTGCTGGGGGAGGGGGTCTCTCCTCTTTTCAGGATGGTTCCAGGTTTCCTGGTTCCCAGTGGAGCGCTTACAGTAATAGCCTCCACCATGCTAAGTGCTGTCTACCAGCGCCGGGCCATTTCACAAAGAGACAGGTGCCCGCCCTGCACACACACACACACACACACACACACACACACACACACGTTCCACGGAGCAGCACACCGAGAGAGTGCTCGGAGAAATTCATTGGCTCACCCAAGGTGAGGAGTGGAACCAAGACCCCGAGTACTAGTCATTTTGAGCCTAATAAGAATGGCGGCTGCCCTGGTTGAGTATGTAACTGGGCCTGGCACTATTCTAAACGACGGACATGTACTTGCTCATGTCAACGTCACAGCAACCCAGAAAGGTGGGTACTCTTGCCGTCACCACTTTTCCAGGTGAGGGAACTAGGGGCTGAGCGGGTTCTAACCTGAGGCCACTCTTTGTCGCCGAGCCGGTGGCATTACCACCAAGCCACACTGCCCCACCGGGGCGCCCGGAGCTGTCCTATGCGCACGCCGCCCACCACCCAGGGTGGCGTGAGGACGTCCTGAGCTGAGCTCAGCGCCCAGCATGTTTCGGCGTCACCCCGTCCAGAGGGCCCAGCAGATGGCGCCCAAGAGGTGTCCCAGCGCTGGCGAATGGCCGAGACCCCAGGTGCTGCCCAAGCTGCCCTCGCTGGAGCGCCGAGCCGGCTACGGCGCGGGGCGCGCGGAGGTCTCGCAGGCCTCCAGGGCCTCCTCCTCGTGGTGGCAGGGGTGGGACAGCGAGCCCGGGCCGGGTGCCGGGAGCCCCCAGCTGCGCCTGCCCACCCTGCACACCGTGACCTCGCGGGCGGCGCAGGACCGCGCGGCGCTGAGGTCCCTGCTGCTGCCGCCGTTGCGCAGGACCGACAGGTCCTGGGGGTCCGCGTGGCGGCTCCCCGAGCCCGGGCAGGGCCAGGACCCCCGGAGGAGCGCGGCCGAGGAGGACTCTCTGAGCGCGCTGCTGGAGGAGTTCCTCCCCAGCAGCTTCAGCGAGTTCCTGCACCAGTTGCGACAGGAGTGTGCCGAGCAGCCCGAGCCGCAGAGT